CTCAGCTTCCTCATCTGTGAAATGGGACTAATGGTACTTCCTTTTTTTTTTTTTTTTTTTTAAGTGTTTGTAGAGCTACAGGCCAGGGGTTTATATACAAATGACTTGTCACCATGACTCTAGCATGCTCTTTCTCTCGAGTGCCTTCCCCATATGCCCCAAAGCCACTCAGTGTTCGAAGTGAGGAGAGGAGCTTTGGAAAATGATCCGGGCAGTGAGTATCCTTTCTCCTTCTAGCCCATCAGAATTTACCTCAGTTGTGAACTGCAGCAGACTTGAACCAGGGGTTTCCACAGGTGAAAGACAAATGAACTTAATCTGTGTTGTCACCTACCAGATGAAGCTGCTCCTGCTACTTGGTGTGCTTCGTTTCTACCTCCAGTTGTGTTTGTATGTGTGAAGTGGTGCAGCAATGCTGTGTTTCAGGGAAGCTGGGAGGATCCCCAGAGTGAATATTGCTAAGAACTGAAAAACTGACCTTACAAGTGACACTTCCAGCCCAGTTAGCTGTGAGGTGACACTAAAGCAGGCTCATCTTTCCTGTATGATCTACTGGTTCTGAGGTTAGAGCCACAAGTAAACTTGGGTTATTATCAAAACCTCTGGCCTGGCCCTCAGGCTCCTCCCTGCAAGACCCCCCACTCCCTTCTCACATGCTTAGAAAGTACTGGGTGGCTATTTTTTCACCTGTTCATGCTCCAACTTTATGGAGAGCCTCTCTGTCTGCTGCTTCAGGGTGAGCACCTCCTGCTGCAGGGCCCTGATCTTCTGCTGCAGCCCCAGGGATGTGGTGTGGTAAATCTGGTCCCACTCTTGATTCAGCTTCATCAGCTGCAAAGAAAAGACAAGCCAGTGAGGGGCTGGTGGGAGGCTGGTGCCCAGGGGTGTAGTGGCTGTGCTTCCAGCCTCCTGTAAGAGGCTGCTCTCTGTTCCAGCCCAGCCCAAGGGAGGGATATGTTGCTGGGGATCTGGGATAGTCAGCCTCAGAGTTCTCAGCCCAGAGTTCTCTATGCCTAAAACCATACCCTGGCCAGAACTAGGGAACCACTCACTGTGATTGATTATAGGACTGTGCCACTTCAGTGGTCACATCTGCTCAAGAGGCATTATGCTCTCAGGGCTCAGTTGTGCACCTGTAGCGATCTTGTGGGCTGCTCTTCATGAAAGACTCTTGTCTGTTAGCATGTGACTAAGTTGCACTAGCTACCACCACGTCAAACAGGGTATGGTAAGAGAAGATGTGGTTGTCATGCTAGGCAACTCTGGTTAGGCTCAGGTGGTGACCCAGCTGGCAGGTAGGACCACAGCCTGATCAGAGAAAGCATCCTTCCACACTGACCCTCTCCTGGGGTGATTTTGCAAATGCTGCTTTAGCCTCCCTCCTTCAAGTACAGTGTACAACTGCTCCTCCACCCCCCAGGCACTAGCCTCTTAGCTCCTTGGATCACAAGTGAAGGGATAGATGCAATGCAATCAAATATGTGCATGGCAGGGGATGACATGGCAACCCAGCGCAGTCAGCACAATGGGGCAGGACTGTTCTGAGCCTGGTTGGGAAGGGATGAGAGTAAGCAGTAGGCCCTGTGCTGTGTGTCCTGCCCTTTTGCTACACAATGAGTTGAAGGGAGCTTGAACCTTAAGGAACAAGAGAATTCACCTGCTGGTGGCCTGGAGCTATGCAGGAGCAGGACAGGAAGATGGAGAGTAGGGCCTGAGTGCTGATCCCTCTGGGCAGCAGTGGCTGAGATGGCAGGAATGGGGGTGCACATTCCTTCCCCTGGGGTGGAGGAACCACCTACATGCTGGATGGGGAGGAATCCCCAGTCCAGGCTTAGCTCACCTCCTTGTTGATGCGCCGCAGCTCTGTGTTCTTGTTGAGCAGCATCAGCTTCTCCTCATCGGCTGAGGTCACTGTCATGCTCTCCGAGATGTAGGTGACAACCTCCTCTGAGTCATTCCTGTCAGAGATGGCAGGCTCACTCAGCACTCCAGGAGCATTCTCCCTGCCCAGCCATCAGAAGAGAAGGAGAGTCAAGGACACAGGAACACAAGGGCACAGCTCCACTCTTAATGCGAAGCCACCTCATGCAGATGGACCTTATAACAAGAAAATTTATTTTTCTGTGAGGACCTATCCTTTAGCTACTCTCCTCATCCAGGCCTGGACATGCACTGTGCTCGCAATTAATGCCATATCCACTGGATGGCCTTAGCCTATGGCCCCTTGCTCTGTAGACAGCTACCCTAGGAGTGGCAGCTGAAGAGCACAGCTGGGACAGAACTGATGCTGAAAAAGATCTTGCTTTTACCTGGTAGTCAGCATATCAGGCTATGACCCATTCACACCTAGCAGGCTGGAAGTAAAAGCCCTCTAAGGCTCCCACTTAATGCCACAAGCCCAGCTATCTTGCTGAGGAGAGCTCTGGGGATATGCTGCATAGATCTCATGCCAATTGGGGAAGTTCTTGGTAAGTGTATTTGCATACACCAGATTTGCATAAGCAACTTCATTGAAAGGGGGTTTGAAGGGGATTTTGGCTAGAAAAGTGCATATGCATGTGAAAGCAAAAGCCTATGAACCCTAAGCAAGCTCCTAACAGCAGATCTGTGAGGGACCCAATCCTCTTGTCTCCTAATGACCCCACTCAGCAGCGTGTCAAGGCAAACAGACAGTATGGTACCAGAAGGTGTTATTCCTGAGACTTTTCATGAGTGAAGCTGAATGATCCCGAGAGAGAGAATACATGCTCCTTGGTATACAACATTTCTTCTCACCAATCTGCAAACTAGATGCAGCTTTGCACTTCTGCCCTGCTTCTCAGCAGGGGCTGTAGCTGTGGTAAAGTCTAGTCTTACTGCAACTTTCACCACCTGTACCACAGCCAAGCCTTTGCAATTGTGCTGTGAGGTGTCAGCATAAACAGCCAAATTCTGAGCAGACTTTGTTTTATGAAGTGACTCGAGCTTATTTTGTCAAACCATGGTCCCTGATTTCAGCCACGATGACTACGCCTCCAGGGTGGTGTTTGTGTGTTTACTGTATCTCAGTTTAGTTTCTTGTCCAGATTAATCCAAATCACAAACTTGCATCCCTGTCTACATCCCAATAGCCAAGTGAAATCCAGAAGCAAAATATCTAGCAATTCCCATGTCTCCTTTTTTTTTTCTACCAAGTTGTTGTCCTATGTGCAGCTCCCAGACCAAAAGGCATGGGAATTCAGATGCCTTGCATTACGCCTGATCTTAGACCCAACACCCCTGGATCTGGGTTGCTCTCTACCATGCAGTTTTACTATGCTGAACAAAGCCAAACAGGTCAGAACAGCATCCACACACCCACACAAGCATGAGGATTTCAAACCACAGTCATTTCATAGCTCTGTTAAATTACCAGACTTGCAAGTAACTAGCTAAAAAAAAAAAAAAGGAAGGCTTTTCCTCAAGAGCATGTTGTGGGTTTTGGATTTGATCCACAATAGCTTCTACCAAAGGGCTTTAAACCTCTTTCTGAGCAGTTCAGTTGACAGAGCTGTAATCACTGCCAGCCTTATAGCCATGCTCTTCTTCTTCCCACTTTCTCCTCTCCCTCTTTTCTTTTCTTCCTACTTCACTGAGTTATCTTAGCTGCTTTTACTTTGGCTGAAACAAGAACCGCCTAGGACAGCAGCAGGCTTTATGGGATTCAGACAGCCCCCTTGCATTCACTGGAAAGGGGAAGCAGAGTGAAGGTAAAAAAGGGGCATTTGTATCTTGTGGAAACACTGAGAGGTTCTAATTCAGGTTCCGGAGCAGATCTACAGATCTCTGACACCAAGTCTGAGAGGAAAAGCAAGATGGTATTTTTATAGTTTGCTATCCCACAACCGATCTGATGTGAAAGAGACTGCTAAGTACCACCACAAAGCCAGGAATGCCAGCAGCTCACTGGGGTGGACTGGCCATTCTCACACACCTCTCTCTCCATGCTCTTTGTCATTTGCTGCGGTAGGTTGAAACCATCATTGGACCTTTGGGCTTTCTGGGTTGTGCTCACACCCTAGACCATGTTCCAGGCTTTCGAGCTCATTACTTGATTGGGTATCACTTAGGTGTTCATGGAGTAATGCCTTGTAACATTGTCACAGTAATAAGTCTGGCCCACAAGACCCTAGGTCAAGCTGCAAAGGAACAGTTCTCCCAACAGTATCAAGCACAGACCTTCCTGTAAAGGGACTATGTTGCCCAATAGCTAGCACAACCGCTGTGTCATCACAGCCTGCCCCTTAGATCACTCTGAAGCAGACATACGGATGGGAGGACCCAGGGACATAAGTATCATGTCCACACCTTAGGTGCTGCTAAGATGGTTTTTTGCTGTCTCTGGTTTCCTAGCCAGGTGTTTTGCCAGGTCAGATGACCTCAGTCCAGGGAGAGGTCTTCTCCCAGTGACATCCACCGTCCAGACAGGAATCTTTATCACACGCTTTCTGTCATCCAGAGCTAGGAGAGTTGGGGAATTTCCAATGGCCCCAGCATACAAGAGCAATAGCCTACCAGAGCAAAGGGTCCAGGACACATCAGTGTTTTGGCTTATCTTGCGATCACCAATACAAGTTGTCACTCTTGCATGCTACCCAAGAAGCCTCCATTGTTTCCTGTGCCTGGAGTACCACCCTTTATATCTGAGCCAGATTCACTGGAACTGAACAGCCCTTTGACTTGTTCCCATCATGCCTCATGGACAGAGCTACCCTGTGGGATATCCATCTCCCTCCCATTTGCAGCTGCCCTTTATACCAGCCCAGCCTTTCCAAAAAACATATATTATCTTCACTGGAATAACACAGGAGTGTGGAGAGCATCTCCCCTGGCAGTATGCAAACTAGAAAGCAACTGAAAAGCAGCCAGCAGTCAGAGCTTGGGATTGGTCTACCAGCATATGGATGCCTGGATTTGGTAGCAAGGGGCTTGTCGTAACTTGGATCCTCTGGGCACACTGAGAGGCAGCACTGTAAAAGACCCCCTCTGTCCCTGCCAAAACAGTCTCCAGGATCACTGAGTCCTTTGCAAGCAGGTACTTGGATAGCTCTGAAATATAAACCACATCTCCCCATGTCTTTGCACACTCCTGTGCCCCAGGGAAGACTGTGTTAGGGGGAGCCTCAGCCTCCCCTGCCCAAGACTGCCTCTGAGGCAGCAGCTTCCTCACACGGCGAGCAGTGTTAAGGCAGGAAGTGATGATGTTGACGCAGGAAGTGTAGGCTCTGGGGGCAGGAAATTCTGACACGCGACAAGCTTGAAAAACCCACCCTGCTCTTGGTTACCTGAGCGGTGGCGTGTTTCCCCCAGGGGGGCGCAGAACGCCCCCTCCCCCTGCACACCTTCTCGCTGCCTTTCCAGTAAGGGGCATTCAGAAGAGCTGTTGCTAAAGGCCGACTTGGCAAGTGGGTGGGAAAAGTCCACTGGGATGGAAAGGTCACTGGGTAAATGGACGAGCTGCTAAATGGACTGGCTCATTGGTTACCTGGATAGTTCACCCACAGCCCTCTTCTAGCTTCTACACTAATCTCACGCCGGGGGAAGTCCCCAGCTAACTTCCTCATGCAGCCCTGTCTCTATGCGGGGGGACTCTAGGCTCAGGACTGCCTTTACATGACGGCTTGTTTCCTACAAAGTGTGTAGAAATGCAAGAGGGAGGAGGGAGTTCTACACTCTGTCCCGTTGCCAGATCAGCCCTTGTGGCATATAGCTTGGGCAGCTCATGGTCTACATGGAGGCCTCTGCCTGACAAGACTCTCACTTGGCAGGAATGACTGGTGGCACGCTCCATCATTAGGAGTTTCTCTGTATGCCAGGGCTTAGGCTGAAGTAGTGGTGTGGGGACATCTACCCCAGCAAAGCACCTAGTGGAGATGCAGCGTTCCTTCGTAAGCAGCCCTGTCTTCCCCAGCATCTCTTCCAGTGAAAGAGCTGTAGGTGGTCAGATTGCATCAATGCTAGGGGTGTTCCAGCCTAGCTATGCCAGCTAGGGGTGGCAAATCTTCGCAAACCATGCCCAGATCTCCAAGCTTCATGGGTGGGTGTTCAGTACTAGACTCTGATGTCCTGACTGGGGTTGGGAGAGGAGCAAAGCAGAGAGATGGCTGAGCACTTCTTGTTCAGTGCAATGAGTGCAGAGGCTGATACCATTCCCAAAGCAGTGGCTGCTCCCCTGCAGTGTGTGATACCAGCAGGGAGAACATGACAGAGCTGTCCTGGCGCCAAAGGACCTGAGATGTGAACGTGTTTTATCTGTGGGGCTGGTGGGTGGTGTGAGTTTCTCACCCTGCTTGATAATGCAATGTGCTTTCCCACGGCCTGTCATGGGTGGTGGGAATGTCACCCATGTTCATTCTCATCATCTGTCAGTCTGTTGCTATAATGGGTCCATGGGATTCTGGGTTTACAAATGGGGTGGAAAGCATAGGCTATTCCAGATGGCCAGGAAACCCTAGTTCAGTTCCTCTCTTTTTATTCCCAGCAATAAACTGTAGGTGGGAGTTGGACCCAGGGTGGGAAAGGGTAAAGTGAAAAGTGCAGCCTGTTGGTTTTGAAAAAGATAGATTGTTAGCCAAAGGGAGGACATGCAGAGAGAGGCACTGAAGGGCCAGAAAGGAAGCTGGATCTTTACATTCTGGTGTTTCCAGCCATCAAAGGCGGGGCAAGTGGTACACTGTTTGTGGAAACATAGGGAGTGAAGTCCAAGTCCTGCTACTTTCCGTGGTAGTTTTGCTATTGACTTCAGTACAGCCAGGATTCCACCAGGATTTTGAACTGAACTTCGCCATCCCTTCTCACCAGAGCTCAGAGGCTGAGGGGAGGTTCTAATTTCACCCAAACCAACTCACACTGCCTTGCTCATGGCCTCTCTATGACAATCCACAGAGGACAGCCTAATGGGGACTGTACTTCTGAACATGCTGTTACTCCAACAGGGATAGGTTGGACAGACAGGGTTTTGCTTCAGATACTTGTTGGAGTAGGTAGCTCAGAAGTACACATATACTTTAAGCTCAGCACCCAAAGGGTTATAAAGCCAGTACGGGGAACCTCTTTTAATGATGTATTTCTCACCCAACTTGCTGCTTCCATATTTATACCATATTCTCCTCCTCTCCTCCAGCTGTGGCATTGATTGTATCCATGGCATGAGAATCCCAGTGTTGAACCTAGGAAACTTCACACTGCTGGGAAACTTTACACCCTCATTAGCTCTGTATAGTTCCTGGATGATTCACTCCAAATACAGTGATATTTAAATGTTGATCTAGTCAAAGCAGAACAAATTCCTATTTTAGACACACTCGGACCATTGGACTCCTTAGTTATAACAGTTTAGCTCAAGTCAAGAACTTACTGATGCAAAGGGAAACCACTTGCATTAGGGGTTTGCCCTACTTTGTCTAGACAGGGTATTTTATGAGCACAGCCAAGGCCTTATATTTGATTTCCATTCCTAACCAAGTGTCACTCCTAGGGGTTTTGGAAATCAGTTCAGATGCTTAAAGGATTGGTATCCTGAGTCTATCTCTGCAGAGAGTATCCAGCGTTCCAGCTGTGTGTAAGAGGATACAAGGTGTTCAGCCTACATTCAGTACAGCGGTGAAGTTTCTTAAGCTGGGTTCAAACTCAGATGTGGCTAAGTGGGAAGAAAGGTTGGTTCTCATTGGTTAAAACATGTTGTTTTATAACTAAACACGGCCTTCACACTAAATTCTTCATGCTAGCCATGAAAATATACTGTATCTGTACACAATAAGTAATTATATAGCAAACAAAGTATTATCTGTAGTTAGTGACTGTAGTGATATTTTAATGTCACCTTGTCCTTCAAGATTTTAAAAGTAGTAGAGTGCATCCTCTAATAACTCATTTTAATGAATATGTTGGAAGAAGAAGAGTAGCCTTCTTGCTCTTTCATTACCCAGTCAATTGCTTAATTTTGGATGAACCAGGTGAATAGACTGAAATGGAACAAATGAAGATATGTGGGGAGCCAAAGGAAAAGCAAGGGCAACATTGGACCAGATGGACAACTGACACCCAGGAAAAAGCCAACCTATTACATGGGTACTTTGCATCAATCTTTCATCAGTCCCATGGGACGCCCATGCCCGCTACGGGACCGGCAGGTCCAGGTGAGGGAGATCCCCTGCCCTCCATCAATGCTGACCTCATGAAGGAACACCTTGAGAGGCTGGATACTTTCAAGTCAGCCGGCCCTGACAATCTACACCCCAGGGTACTCAAGGAGCTGGCAAGCATCATAGCCCAGCCCCTGGCACCGATCTTTGAGAACTCCTGGCACTCTGGTTTGTGCCTGAAGACTGGAAGAAGGTCAATGTGGTGCCAATCTTCAAGAAAGGGAGGAAAGTGGATCTGGCAAACTATACGCCCATCACCCTGACTTCTATCCCGGGGAAGGTCTTAGAAAAGTTTATTAAAGAAGCCATCCTTAATGGAC